GCATCCTACAACTGTGCAATGTTTAGCATAAAACAACCTTGAATTAGAAAATTTATTAATAACAATTTCAATTTGATAGTATCAAAGAGACTGCTTCTACTTTACCATAGCTGAAAAATGACTATGTCCTTCTCAAGTACTTTAAAACTGTATTTTAGGATGTTTTGATTAATTGGGAATGGATAAATAATAGTAAATCTTGACTCCAAAGTTTAAGAAGATTCATCCAAGTTGGATTATTTAAACTTGAAATAAATAGATGTATTTTCTTGGAAAAATATCTATTGTTACAGTAAAACTTGAGTTTCCTTTCTAACGAGATTGTATGATTACTCGTTTATATTGTTCTTTCCGCAGGAATTCACACACCCCCTGTTTGCATCCTGTTATTCACTTAGAGCTTCCCTTCACTTTGCTATACTGTTTCCCTAATAGTGAGACAGTGGTTTAAACTAAACACAAAAATCCAACCACTGTTGAGCATGCATCAAGTCTCTTCTTTTGCACTTAGCATCTGTTCAGGTCATAAGGGTTCCCTTCAAAATTTTATTCTCTGTATGCTCAAAATTTTGCCTTGCCTTCCCAAACCACTGGTGGTCTGGAAAAGACATGGGATCTTCTTTCCCTCACCTCCCATCTAACTCTATGCTTCTGTATTGAACAATCCAAGAAACCCCTTAGACCATACATACTGATACTAAACCAAGTAAACACAACTACAATCTTTCTAAAATTCTGTACATTTGAGTTAGTTCTTTTGAAAGGCAAAGAAAATAATTTTTTAAAATAATTCAGGGCATAATCAAGGCCAGGTTAAATCACTACCTGAAAGTATGATTTATGACCTGCATCAGACATGCTTGCTATTTCTGGGTTCTATATGGAACCTACTGAATAAGCATGTAAGGAGTGTGTCTGGAATGTGCATTTCAACAAGCTTTCCAGGTCAATTCTTGTGTACCATGAAGTTTAAAAGCCAGTAATGTAAAGGATCTAAAATCAAAGATAATATACTAAGGAACAACATAAACAGGGGAATAACACCTTATAGTCAAATACATAGAACTAGAATTAAAAAGAGACATAAATTCATCAATGAAGAGTTGAGAAAATAACTTTTACAAAAGTACAAACTCCATGATGACTATGACATTCTTTAAAAGACAGACTTTGGTATCTTCCTGTGATATTCAACAGCACACATGTCAACATGTAAAAAAAATGTACATACTTACATACATATAAACATACACTAAATGTATAAATACAATGTGTGTGTGTGTGTATTTCTGCCTGCAAGGTGATCATTATTATGGCTAGTAATTAAATGTTATACTGGCTGCTCTCTAAACAGCTTCAGATCAACTCTCTAACTTCTAATCACAGGACAACCAACACATTCTTATCTTTTCTTAAACAGATACAGTTTGACTTCCTAGGACAAAGGAGCAGGAAATAGAAAGGTAAAATGGCTTAAATCAACAAATCTTTACCAGAGTCAGAAAGTAAATACCTCCCTTGCTTCTAGATTGTAAACTCTCAAGTGGCAGAGACCACATCTTATAAGTCATGAATCTCCCATCACAGCACAGGGTCAAGCAGTAAGCACAGCATTAAAAAGCACCACGATTAAATAAAATGCTTCCCAGGACCAGGATCAAACCTTAAACCCTAACTCACTGCCATCAAGTGATTCTGACTCATAGCAAGCCCCACTGGCCTTCCAAGGCTGTAAATCATGACGGAAGCAGACTGCCCCATGTTTCTTCCACAGAGCAGCTCGTGGGTTTGAACCACCAATCGTGTGGTTAGCAGCCAAATGCCTTAGCATTTCACAAAGCTGGGAGTGGGCTCAAGGTTACAGTATGGGACGGTGGTTCTCAAACTATTCAACTTGCACCTAGCCCCACCATCACAGTTTATAATGCCATAGCTTAGGGATGGGAGCAGGAATTGGCATTTCTAACAAATTCGCAAGTGATGCTGATGTTGCTTGCCTGAGGACCATACTTTGAGAACCACTGATACAGGGAAAAGTTGTCAGGGCTCCCAAAAAAGAGAAGTAACTAAGATATCATCAGGAAAAACTGCACAAATATACACACATACACCCCCCCACTGGCTATGCACAATTCATTCCCAAGATAAACATGGCTTTGGTATAGATGAAAACTGAAAATTCGAAGACTTTTTATATAGGATCGGAAAAAGTGTTTTCTCTGATATTACTATCCTCAAACCAGTAAATACTGATCAGATCCCAATTGTTTAAACTATATAGCTTTTGTCCAAAATAAAAAACAAACAAGTAAGCTAATGAACATACAAATAAAAAGATGCTTAGACTAAACACATCAAGTCATCAAACACAAACCTAAAAGGAAATTAACTATTTTGTGTTATTCCAAATACAAATTACAAATTCAAATGTCTATAAATGTGCTGTCTAGGTACTGACCTGGACCAACAGTATTAACATCTGAGAGTTTACTAGAAATGCATAATCTGGCCACACCTATACCTACTAAATTAGAAACTGCATCTTAATAAGAGCCCTATGTGATATATAAGGAGCTCTGGTAGCACAGTGCCTAAGGCACTTGACTGCTAATCAGAAGGCTGGCGGTTCAAACCCACCAGCCACTCCTCAGAAGGAAGGCTGGGCAATTTACTTCTGTAGTGATACTGCCTTGGCAAACCAAGGAGGGGTCGCTATGAGTCGGGTCAGATGCAACAGCACACAAAACCAACAACAACGTGTGATATATAAGCACACTAACATTTGAGAAGCACTGTTATGGGCCATTAAGATTTTACCATTGATTCCTTTCCTAGAGTTTATAAAACAACATAATGTTTGGAAAAGACTCAACATTTCCTTGAAAAATCTATTGCTGACTTATAAAATATTTGCTCTGATAAAAGAGAAATCAAGGAAATATTTTGCACTAGAAATTGTTTTCAAATAAAACAATTTTATGATGATGAAAAAACCAAACTCACTGCAGTTGAGTCAATTTTGACCCATAGCGAACCCTCTTTGGGTTTCCAAGGCGGTATCATTAGGGAAGTAGATTGCCCAACTTTCCTTACGAAGAGTGGCTGGTGGGTTTGAACCTCCAGCCTTCTGGTTAACAGTCAAGTGCCTTAGGTATTATGCTACCAGAGCTCCTTTAATTAACACATATCTTATTATTTAATTAAAGAAAAGACTTCAAAAATTAGATTTGATATATGCACACCCATGTTCATCATAGCACTATTCACAATAGCAAAAGGATGGAAACAGCCTAAGTGCCCAACAACGGTGGAATGGATAACCAAGCTAAGGTACATAAACACAATGGAATACTATGTTAACACTAAAGAAAAATGTAGAATCCACAAAATACCACGTAACATGGACAAATGTGGAGGACATGAAGCTGAATGAAATAAGTTAATCACAGAAGGACAAATATTGTATATAGTCCATTACTGTAAAAAGTCAAGGAAAGGTTTACATAGGGAAGGAAACTTTGGTTACCAGGGATGGGGTGGGGGAGCTGTTAGATAGGTAAGAGACAAGTATTGAGTTGGGTGAAGAGAAAGTCAATATACCAAAAGCAAATGACCCACACAATAACATTAAGGAAAAGGAAGACACAGACAGGTCCACAAGTAGTACAGACAACAAAGATTAACACTTTTATATAGTCAATACTGCATTATCAGTAATAACACACATTAATCTATGGGTAAACATATAGGTAGACAAGCTCAATGATCAGGTATGTCTCAGCAAATGGGAATAAACCCATGATCATATATAAGTTAGGCAGATGGTATTTCTACAAATATATTTGTATGTGTTATAAGAATGTCCATATAAATAGAACAGGTGTAAAGTTATGATAACTTCTTAGCCACAACCAACCTCCCTGAGGGAGCAAGCTGTTGGACCTACGGGCTCAGGATCATGGTCACAGGAGACATTAAGTTCAACTGGCATAACATAGTACACAAAAACACTGTTCTACACTGTACTTTGGTGAGCAGTGACTGGGGTCTTAAAAGCTTGCAAGCAGCCATCTATATTTAACAATTGGTGCCTCCTGGTCCAGAGCAAAGAAAAATGAAGAAGACCAAAGACACATGGACACAGTCCAAGGAACTAGTGGACCATGTGTGAACCTCAGCCTTCATGACCTTGAGATCAGAAAAACTAGATGGTGCCCAGCTACCACTGCCAACCCCTTCGAAAGGGATCAGTGCAGGAAATCCTGGATAAAGTGGGAGAAATATGTGGAATAAAATTCAAAATCATAAAAATAAAACCAGGTTTACTAGTCTGACAGAGATTGGTGAAGCCTCCAAGACTATGGCCCCTAGTGACCCTTGGGCTTGGAATTGAACTCATTCCTGTGACTTCCGCCCAAACAACAGACAAGCATAGAAGGTGAACACTTATAACAGGTAGGTGCACTCCTTAGAACAAGCAATCATGGGAGATCAGAAGGGCAGTATTTGTACAGGGAGACAACTCAGAGGGCAGGAATGCATAGGAAAGAAGGACACAGGGAAACGGCAATCACAGGGAGGAAGTGGGAAGAGAGCTGTTACATTATGGGGATTGCAATCAATGTCATGAAACAAAATGTGGATGAACTGTTAAACGGAATACCAATATGCTCTATAAATTTTCAGCCAAATAACAGTAAAAAGTTAAAAACATTTTTTACTTGGAGAAAGGGAAGCTAGAATCTGACACATTTAGTATAAGCACAACTTCCCAATACATGATTTTCAAAGAATGACCATTCATCTGCTTTGATGAATTAAAAAGGAAAACTGATTTTAAAAATGATTATATATTTGTTTTTGCTACTTAAATTTTACTGTACAGGAATAAATGCAAAGCTCTTTTTTTCACATATGGCTAATTTTTATTATTTTCAACATAGCATCAGCCATATTTAGTATAAACATTTTGTAAGTCATTATAGAAAACTTTGTCTTACCATCAAAGAAACTCTTGGCTCTCAAGTAACTGACACTGAGCCTAAGAACTGAAAGTTTGTCCAGTTTATTAATAACATCTTGTGGAAAAGGCAGCAGACTAGCCAAACGGTCCAACTCTGTATTAAGTCGGTCTCTATGTCTCTTAGAAGGGTTGGATTTGATACCTTCAGCTGGGATTGGCTTTACTCTGAAAAACAAATAAAAATTCATTAAAAGCTAAAATCTGCTGTATTATCACATCTTCTCAAATATTATTGTAATAAAACAAACCATTCAAAATCTACCTCAAGTTTACATCTTCCAAAACCTCCTTCATATCTTAAGGAAAAAAAGGGATAAAATTCTTCATAATATTTTATTAAAAATCTGATGTACGCATCATAGAATATCTTATAAAAATGCTTATCAATACTTCATACATTTGTGTTTTAGTGATATCGAATTAAAAAATCTATTAGGATATTTTTTCCTCTAATGCAGTTAGCAATTCTTTGGGAAAAGGGGATGGAAAAAAAAAAAAAGAACAAGTTGCAATGAATTATGTGAAAATTATGCTTCCTTGGCCATCTTCTACAAGAAGCATCTCAGCATCATTTATGTTGGAAATGTGTATCTTCATCAGACCCAGCCTATTTTTATATATTTTCATTCTATCAGTGACAACTTCTCAAAGCCTTTCTGGCACCTATATATTCCATCCTAATGCAGTCTTCCAGTATTAAAAAGAAAAGAAAAAAATCACATTTGGCTTTTTTTTAAATTTGTTGATTGTTAACTGTGATTATTGGTAAATTTTGGTTTCATGACTGGGCAGTAATTCTACTTAATTATTTTCTTACGTAGTTTGTATCTTAATAAGAAAATTGAAAGAAACCTCCACCTTTATTATGATTTTCATCTACCTAAGAGAAGAAATGCTTATATTTAAGAGTAGAACATGTGTTTAGAAGTGATAAATTGGACAACTTCACACAAATGCCTTAGCCAGGACTTAGCAGAAATTCATTATTTAAAGTGAATTTACAGATCCTCAGACACCCACACTGAAACAGGAATAGTAAGATATTTGCAATCCAACATAATTTTAGATCATGCCTCTATTAGCCAAAAAAATAATTATTGTTAGTATTCTTACAACTAAAGGCACTGTAGACAATTCAAATTAAATTATATCATCTTACAAAGTAAAACTTGCTTGGGTACAGTGCTATTAATTTGATTCAATAAAAATATTTCTAGATAATTATGTTTTCAATATTGTATGTGGAGAACACTCTATGTAAAAAGATGATGAAAAGTAAACAGGAAATTTAACTTGCTTTTTATACTGTCTCTAACAAGCATTTTCTTCAGAACATGTCCATTTCAATTTTTCTGTTACAAACTCATGTTATTTCTACAAAAATTTATATAATGATAACTTAGTAAAATAGCATATATATAAAACAAAAGATCAATACACTTTATACAACTTCATACTTAAGGGAAACTGGTGACTGTTTCCCTAGCCGTTTTCCCCTAATCATATTACATTGATAATCAAATTCAAGTCACACCTAATTACTACATTTTTCCAATTAACCAACTTTTACCTACAATGTGTTATTTAATTCATTGAAAACCTATTTATTTGTACCTATAATGTCCTAGACAGTCCAGGTAAACGTTCTTCTAGCAATTATTCAAAAAGTACTATGGATGCTTAGAGACAGCAAGTGCTTGAAAAACGATTTTACAGCAAAGGCTGTGCCTGAGATGGATATGGAAAGATGAACAAATTTCATGGGGAAGAGTGAGTGGAAATGCTAAGCTCTGAGCATTTCTGTGAAACACGGGGTGAAGAGGGAGATGGAGAAGTTGGTTGGGCCCACATTCTTTGAACAAATACTCAACATCTACACCATGCACCAGCAGCTCTGGTAGCATAGTGCCTAAGGCACTTGACTGCTCACCAGAAGGCTGGCGGTTCAAACCCACCAGTCACTCCTCGGAAGGAAGGTTGGGCAATCTACTTCCGTAGTGATACTGCCTCGGAAACCGACTCGACGGCAAACACCACCACCACCACCATGAGCCAGGTACTGAACATTTAGCAGTGAACAAACATATAAAAGCTCCTGTTCTCATGGGGTTACATTCCAGGGGGAGAATACAGAAATAAACAAAAGAATAACATACAACTTTTCACGCTGGTGAGTGTTAAGAAGAAAAATAAAGCACTGCAAGGGCCTAAAGAGTGCTGGGAGTAATGCTTTTGCTATCATGGCTAGAGAGGAACTCTCTGACGTGATATTTCAACACAGACGTGAATAAAACAAAAATGTGAGCCATGTGAATGTCTGAAAAATGCTCAAGGTAGAGGGAATAGCAAGTTTCCTTAAATAAATAGTTTTTTAAAAAATAAGTATAAAAAGTAAAAAAACTGGACTTTGATATCGGGGAATCATCCTAAGTTCTGAGCTGGAAAGTTACACAACCAATACTGTGTTTTACTAAGCTAACCCTGGTGATGGAATAGATGGAAGGCAGGGCAGATCTCACTGAATTTAGGGATTCTGTCACCAGGAATTTCTCTTTAAAATATAAATCTATGTTACTTCTCTGATTAAAATCTTTCAGTAGTTCCTAACAATCCAACTTCCTTAGCCTAACAACAAAACACTTCACCATCTTTCTAACCTCTATTTCAAGCCTCATTTTCTCCAGCCAAAGCATTCCTTGACATTGTAGTGCAAAACGAAGAAATCATTTGCAATTCGAAACATTTTTGATGCTTTCATACATGTTACTGACTAGAACCTCCTTGTCCTGCCCTAACTCCTTCAAAGTCCTGTCAAGTAGATCCCTGTTGTACAGCCTTCCCTGACCCACCTCACAATGAATTAGCTACCTCTCCCCTACAGTACCTCTATACCTCACACAAATTTCTTACACAGCCATTCTGTTATGGAATTTCTGTGCAAATAACATTTCACATAAAATGAAAATGCATATATAATCCAGTCTTGCATTCCTGGTGGCTTTCTAGTAATCATTATAAAATACTAAGGAGAAGAGAGTAACACAAACATTAAAGCAATAGAAGCTGATAAGACACAGGGAGAAATGACAAGAGAAAGAAGGGTTAAAGGTATTATGGTATCAGTGTTCCTATTGTGCTGGCTCTCTGTAGTACTCTTATCTGTACTAGGTGAGATTGTTTCTTTACACAATGCAAAAAACATCCATGTCTCTAATGTATTATTAGACACCTTATGGAATATTCAGCATGAGATCAAATTTCCCTAAGTATTATGTAACCTATATTGCATATATTTTTCATTTGTTTCTTTTAAACTTAATCATCTCTTTCTTCCCAGTGCCCAGGATAATACTTGGCACTGAGTTTGCTCTCAACGTTTGCTGACCAGAAAATAAATGATCAGAACCTGACCAAAGGCAGTATGATAGCAAGGATGTCAGAAAGGACTAGCTTGAAGACATACTTAAGCATAGCATCTTATTGTCCATCACAGGGCTTGGTATATAGCCAAGGGTTCACTGAACTAAATTGACTTGGTGACTTGGTTATAGAATACAAGGAAGAGGGAAATGGTGAGGAGAGGTTTCAAATTACTCTGGGTTTTGCAGCTCAGGATAACAGCTATTTCTTGACAAAAGGTATACCAAACAAGGAGAACAGACCTCAGTAATATCAACATTTGGGTGTAAGGCAGAGGAAGAGGTGCACACAAAGATGACAGAGGAGAAATGATAAAATAGAAAAAGAATTAGTGTAAAATATTTGGGCAATCACAGAAAAAAGTCAAATGCACAGAGAGATTAAACAAAGTCTGGGTTGAGATACCTACTAAAACAAAACAAAACAAAACCCAAACCCACTGCCGTTGAGTCAGATCCAACTTATAGCAACCCCTCCTTGGGTCTCTGAGGCAGTATCACTATGGAAGTAGATTGCCCAACCTTCCTTCCGAGGAGTGGCTGGTGGGTTTGTACCGCCAGCTTTCTGGTTAGCAGTCAAATGCCTTCAGCACTATGCCACTAGAGCTCCTCAAGAGATACTTACTAGTAGACTTGGCAATTCAAATCTACTGTGTATTTCCATTGAAACTAGAGTTTTAAAAGATCAGATTGTTGGAGCTAAAAAACAGATTTGACTCACTTTTTCACTCATTTTGTGAAAAATATTTAGAACTATTTTGTGAAAAAAACTTTATACATGCCCACACATATTGAAGATGCACAGAATTAAAAATAGAGACTACTACTAAATCAATTACAGTTGACTTGGATGGTGGTTGTTGTTGTTGTTATGTGCCGTCGAGTCGGACCCGACTCATAGCAACCCCTCCTTGGGTTTCCGAGGCAGTATCACTACGGAAGTAGATTGCCCCATCTTCCTTCTGAGGAGTGGCTGGTGGGTTGCTTTTACTTTTGCACTGTCTCTAAATCTATACCAAAATACACTGCCAACCATCTATTTAAAATAAAGCTATTTGCAAAACATAAACAAAAATTCCTGTAAGATTGGATTTGGGAGAACTGGAATTCAGACATCTCCTGAAATACAGGGACTGTAAGATGCTAATCAGCCAAAGAAGCAACTTATTATTTTTTTAAACCTTACCCTCAAAAGTCCTGTCCCAACGTGTAAGTCAAAACTGTTGTGAAATCAAGGCTCTAGCTGACTGCATGCCATGCTTCTGTTTTAGAAGACTTGCATGCTGTAAGTACTGGTGGTAACAGGCCCAACAGCATGTCCAATGCTAGTCTGAATGCTATCTTTATAGCCTTTTTAATATCCCCATCTAAAATGTTTCAAGCACATCATTAGCTTCTGCTGTGTAAAGCAAAGTTAAAGAAACTAACGACCCAGTTTAATAAATTAAGTACTTGTAAATGTTTGTATTTTTATCCGATGTTTATCTCAGGAAATGGCAAAGGGACATGTAAAGATATAGTTTCAGTAAACCTATGAGATTAAAAAGGGTTACCTAAGAAGAGGGTACCTATTATAATACTGACCTTGCATTACTGGCTTTTTCCTCTGGGTGATTTAATCTACTCCCACTGCTTCAATCTACAGGTATTCCTCGATTTACAATATATCACAGTTAAGATGAACCACACTTAAAAAACCATCTAGGGTTTCTTTAATAGTAATATGCAGTACATGCAATGCTGCAG